ACACTAGTCAGAGAGGGGAGGGGAGGGTAAAGCACACATATTGCAAAATGTTAAAATTAGCATTAATTTAGCAAAGGTAGTATGCCAAAGTATTTTGTGTCAAAGTATCAATGTACTTCATACCCATATGTCTGACTTGGTTGATATTGTTTTGCCACTGTACAAGTCCACCATTTCTGGTGCTCTGTAAGATAGTGTTGTGTATTTTTGAATTTCTTCCTCTACTTTAGTAGGGCCTTCATCCTGTCAAAGAATGTATCATAACTAAGCTACAGATTCTTTTGCATTTAACGGTCACTTGGTACTAAATTAGCCATACTGGATGGCAAAAGAATGTAAACAACCTCAAAAGCAAAAGGAACGCAGCCCTTCAAACTTGAATTTTCGTTTTGAAAACCACAGTGAGAATTTTGCAGTTCCAGTTTGGCGAATCTACAGTATCATGTGACCATTAAATGCAAAGTTCAAAATAGATGCTTGATAGTGGAGCACCATAGCTAAGATTAAAAATGGTATACCATCGAGTCGATTTTCCATGGACCGACACATGGTTCCTGCGCGTATGCACGTTTCCTTCCGTCCGTCCTTCCTTCCGTCCTGGATTCCGTGTACCACCACAGGAAACCCATACACCGCTCGAAAAGGAAACAAAGCGCCAAGTATTTGTTGAAAAATCGAAATTTTTTCCTTAAACATTTATATTACATATTGATAATATTAGAACAATTAATAACAAGGAAAAAATCCACTGAAGAGCGAAATAAYMRCRYAGAAATATTCCCGCCAATTTTGTCATAACTTCGACGCGTCCGCACATCCGGGAAATCGATTTGCGAAGATGAAAAGCAATTTAGCCCCATTTTACTTTGATATTTCGACAACAAAAAGAAATGATACTTTATTGGAAATACTTCAATAATATGGACCAATATGGGAAAAAGCAGGGATCTACATGTAAGCGAAGTTCTTTTGTCGACTAAAAGTGTGGACATTTCGAAACCAAAACCATGCTAGCAGTGAAAAAACCATGCATATGTGAAGTTTGAGTAGTCCGGGTTCAAACATCGATTATTGAAACAATGTTGATTATTGTAAACTTATTTAGACTACTTTTTGCCGAGAAGCTTTCAGTTTACTTTTAATTATAATTTTAAACTTCATCCAACGGAACAAAATCTACCGAAGTCAATATAATAGTCTAATAAGTACGAACTAAATTCTCACATTCCCTAGAACAGAACATGATCTACCTTTGAAATAGCAGTACTAGATAATCATT